TAACCAACTAGATATTTTTCGAAGAACGGGAGATTTGATTAAGTTTTAGATTTGCCTTTGTCCTCTAGAATTTCATCCCGAAAAAAGTTATTGGTTGGGGATTTAACATGCTACCCACACATAATATAAATAAGTATATCACATACCTTAACCATATATGAATTTGTGAGATGTAAGTTTCCAGAGTGACTTTCCCAAGCCATCTATTCATCAAGCAAATCAATGTCTGGTTAAGTGATCATTGTGAACAAAAACATTTGTATTCTTACACGGATTTCAATTCCTGTTACATATTGAAGAGTTCATGGATACTTACGCAAAAAGTGTCAATGAGTAGCAGCGGAAATGCTGGGTCACATTTCGTAGGCATATGTATACACTGGTAAAGCGGTAAAAGAAAAATCCAGATCAGCATTTAATTCCAGAGCACTTGCAACAATGGATAACAGATACATAAGTTATACATGCTAAAGAGAATGGTGAATGAACATACGTTATTGGAATCCACGAAGTATAAGGATGATATTTGTTGTATGTAATCTTTGGAAGCTTGTACACGAATTCCACCCACAGATATCCAATCTGAAAAAAAATAAAAAACTATATACATTGGACACGAACTTGAAATGTTCAGGAATGAGCTGAAAGATTGATGCATACTGTCAAGGAAACAATCCCAACAATCGATTTAATCAATATTCTGCGTTTTATTTCAGCTTCCTCCAACTTTTCCAACCATCTCTCCACCTGAAAAATCATTCCAAGGATTTAAACTAAGAAAGATGTCTCTGAAGTAAAAATCCTAACTCGAAGAGAATTGAGCATAAGCATGCAAAGAAACTTACTGTGGGATGGTAATATGCATATATCATTCCAATTATCCAAATGTACCGATCAAGGCCTGAGCGAAAATGCCATTCATGCAAAAGGGAAAGTTTGACTTTTGAAGCTGGATCGGTGTACCCTGAAACAAATTCACATTGAGAAAGAGATGTACATTTTTTTAAACTCAAAAGGTCTATTAATAGTAGTACAAATAGGACTAACCAAGCAGGAAAGTGAAGGGACTCCAGAAAATTTCAAATACACCGGGCACTTCCCATAAAAGAACGACCACCAAAAAGCAGACCACTATTTTTGCGGCTATAACAATTCCACGCTCATTGTATTTGTTGAAAATACCAAGGGCTCCATACACCATCAGAGTGAAAAGAGTGTGCATGGGGCATATGTAGTATAGCATGTAATTGTCATTAAGCACAACGCAGCAAAAAGACACCAAGAAGTTAAGCCTCCACATCATCTAACCAATCAAAAGTAATCTTTCGTGATCAGTATCTGAGTCCATAAATGGGATATTACTTTAAACGATGGGGAAAAGAATCCTTACCTG